AGTATAAGGTGGGGAGGGACACAAGGGGAAGAATAGGAACCTATGAGGTCAGGAGGCAAGACAGCAGGTGATGCCAGGGCAGCGCAAGTGGTTCAGTGCAGCCTGAGAGAAGAATGAAGGAGAGAATGTGTGGAAGATGATTCTGGCTTAAAACAGGCTGGCAATTAACAAAGATTATTAGAGTTGCAGTGTGGAGAATGCGCTACCTAAGAGGAAGAGTGGCGGTACTTCCAAAACAGCTTCCACCTAATACAGTGGTAGGTAAATTCAGAGCCAATATCTGCTTGTCTATGGTGTTGGAGGGAGGAAGGAAATGGCAGTCCTTGAACTCATTTAAGCCAACTGACCTAGACACTGCCTTCTATACACAATTCCCTTCTAAAAACAAAATTTTAAAATACCTGTTAACGAGCAGGATTTGAGTGTTCTTTCCTACTACCCGCTCATATCTTCTGGCATGTCAGTTCCAATAAGAAATACTAACAGACAGATAGCTAAAATGCAAAAGAGAAAAACACCCAAAACTTCTGAACAAGGGAGAATTGGCTCATGTCTTCCTGGGAGGGCATGCATCGTCTTCAGTAGCATCATTGACTTCTAGAGAAAAGCTGAGCATTACTCTTTCAAGGATACGCCGTCAAAACTGCAGTTTTGCAAAGGAAGAATGCAGGGATGTTGTAGTGTTCGAACATTAACTCAGTCAGTTTCTCTCTCTTTGCCCTAGTGTTCCACTTGAAATGGGGAAAAAGAAATGTGAGTTATTTATTGTTTAAAAACTAAACTGTTGACTGATCAAGATTCATTACAACACTATATTAACAAAGATGTAAAACATTAAAAATAGAATACCATGGAAAATAATCTTCATAATATTTATTTCTATTTATTTGTACATAGATTTAATAAATAAATGAAACGTAAATTAAAACTTAGCTATTATCTAATAATAAGTAAAGTTGTTTACCACTATGAATTCAAGACATCACGGATTTTTCAATTAACGGAAATTAGGATTCTTATAATGATAAAGTATTATTAAATATTATGAATGAATCTAGCAATCGAAATCCTAAGTATGAAAAAAAAATCCTAAGTATGAATTTTAGACCTCCAATTCTCCCACCGATAGCTGGTACTCATAAAGGACACTAAATGTTAGAAACAATAACCGAATATTGGTAATTTATGTATTTCACAATAAGAGACTTCAGTCTAGCAATATCCAACCCTAGTTCAACATTTGTCTCTCCTGGAAACTTGAGGATCAAGGCAGATACATGGTGCCCTTGGATATCAAGGGATAACTGATTAACCAAAATAGAAAGCAGTCCAAGGAAATCAAATGTAAACTAAATCTCTGGAAAAACAGATAAATAACCCAAGAACCCATTAGGGTGCTTTGGTATTAATCTTTCAATATTTTCATTATTGAAATAACAAAAGTTGCAATATTTTTCTTTAAAATTAATCTCTTTTGCTATTTTCAAAATTCAAAATATAAATGTCTATGCCTCTTTAAAGAAAAAGGAAACATTCTTCAAATGAATGGGAAAAAAATAGAGAAACTTGGAAATTATTTGTCCTACCGGTGCCTCTGACATGAGAACAGGATGCAGGCTTGGTTCTGATTTGACATGCATTTTGTAGGTATGATCCCATATATC